TATTTTATTTGTAATTTCATTTGAAATTGATGATAAAATGACCATTTTTGTAGTTTTTTGTCTGTAAACATAATCCCCCCCCCCCACCCGTGAAACAACAAAAAGCTTTGGCATGAATTTGTCAAATAACAATTCATAAAATTCCTGTTCCACGGGGGGGGGGGGGGGGGAGGGGGAGGGGGTAAAAATATGTTCCGTTTTCCGTTGATTTCTATAGTGAAAAACGCAATTTTTACCAAAATTAAAGAGTTATCTCTCTTAGTTTTCCCAAATAAGTTATGTTATCTCTCTCTTGTGTGTGTGTGTGTGTGTGTGTTTTCTAAAAAAAAAAAAATGAATACTAGCATTTGAATATTAATTTATCATTCGAATATCAACTCATTGGATGAATTTTCGAATATTTGTTGACATCCTAATACTAATCAATCAAAAGTTCATCTGATCACATAAGGTCAACTTAATACCTGTATATCAATATCATCTCGACATGGGGATCGCGGACGCGGGTCCAGGATTTTTTTTTGCTAGGGGGAGGGGGGCATCCCAATCCCAAAATAAATCCAGCCCAGAAATTTGTTGACAAGCAAGGAAAAAAACGTAAACTCTTCTTTCCCAAACGTCAAAAACGTATTTCGTGTGTGTTTGTGTGTGTGTGGGGGGGGGCTTTCCTACTCTCTTGCGTCATGCATGTACGACTCGATCTACCAACATAACAGGGGTTGGCGTTTTCTTAAGAGGGGGGGGGGTTACAAAGTCATTGTAATAGCTACTTTATTATGAATATTTCCTTTGCACGTTGTACCTTTACAATCATGTAAAACAAAGAAAAGTTTGGGGTAATCATGGAAACGAAAATCTATATCTACTGGTCTAGTTTAACAGTATTTTAGTTTGTGATGACCTTTCTGCCATTATTTTTTTCCTGAGGAATAGGAGTCAGAAGTCGATAAACAGCAAAGGGAAAAAAATGTGTTAAGTTTCTGATATTTTGAGATTTATGAAAACTTTATGCAGGTTAACGAAAGACGGACAGGCATCCACATCTGCACGTACCCTTTCAGGTGCTTTAAGGTTTGAAGATTTTTGGGACAAGTGCAAATATGCCCCTCCCCCCTTTCTTTAAATTTAATAATGATGTTCGAATGGAATACATACGGAGTGGGGGTGGGGTTCAATATAAATGTTTTATTAAATGTAGAAACTACTTAAAAAGCTAGCGTAACATTTAAAATTCGAAAAAAAAATTAGGAGCGGTTATCATATACATGTACTGTGATTTAGATAATACTGCAAAAGAGGACGAGTGTCTTTTTTTACGTCATCATGACTGGATTATAAAGTCAAGAGGCCCATTGGCCATAATGCTCACTCAAGTATACTTAGCCCTGTATGTCCTTTCATGAGAAGATTTAAAAAAAAAAAATCACATGTCCTTTCATCAGAAAATTTTTAAAAAATCCTATCTTTATTCCCATGAACAAAATTGACTCTATATTGCGGGCCAATCCTAGGTGAGCTAAAGCTCATATTTTAAATCAAACAATATCGTATAATAAATTAATGGGAAAAAAAGCTTGTCAATAATAAATCAAAGGCATGATTAAAAGGTATTGATGACCCCCCCCCTTCCCATTAAGGTCATAGGGCAAGTCAAGGTCAGAAAAAAATTGAATAGCTCTCCTCAGTTTGTATCTTTGTTTGAAGTTTGATGAAAATATCATAATTTTTGAAAATTTAAATTAAATGCAAAATAGGGAATTAGTGCTGTCAAGGTTATAATTAAGGGAGATAGATGTCAGGAATTTATGAGCATTTATAGTAAACTCACATTGGCCTCTCCAGGTACTTGAAGAACATTTAATGCACAATGACAATGTTTTTTCTTATTTTTATTTATCTTTTATTTACAAGTCTTCCTGACCATTAAAACTACGAAAGTATTTTTTTTTTTTAAATTATACATTAAAAATTCTTATATAATTCTTTTCAATTGACCTATCAGATACATTATTTACAGTGATTAATTATCATAGGTGAATAACAGAAGGGGAATAACTTCTATCAGTTGAATACAAATTTCACTATAAGATCAACAAAGCCCTGCCCAGCACCAGAACACTTGAGCAACTTGTCCAGAATTTCATAAATCTCATAAAACACCCTTGCTCATTACAATTTTGTACTCCATAGTACAATTTTCTCTCCTAGATGCCCAGTAGCACAGAAGAGGATTTTTAAAATATTAATGCATTTTCACTGTATAATCAATAGTCCAACCCTAACACCAGGACCCCTAACCCAGGGGCCATGAATTTCACAATTTGGAAGAGGCGCCCTTGTTCATCATAACAATGCACCTAGTTTATCTGATAAATATCTAGAAGCAGAAAAGAAGATTATCAAAGAATTAATGCATTTTCACTATATAAATACATGTAGAGCCTAACACCAGAGCCCCTGACACAGAGGCCATGATATTCACAATTTTATAAGAGGCACTATTGCTCATCATAACCATACACTTAGTATGTTTGCTTAATACTCAGGGCATAGAAGATTTTCAAAGAAACAATGCAATTTCACTATATAATCAATAGAGCCCCACCCTAACACCAGAACTCTGTACCAAAGGACCATGAATTTCAATTTTAAAAGAGGCACCCTTGCTCATCATAACATTGCACATAGTTTATCTGCTAAATATCAAAGAACAGAGAAGCATTTTCAAAGCATCAATGCATTTTCACTACCAGTATATTACCAATAGAGCCCAGCCCTTACAACCAAACCCCTGACCCAGGGCATAAAATTCAAAATTTTGGAAGAGGCATCCTTGCTCATCATAACCATGCACTAACTTTTATTTGCTTAATACCCAGGAGCAGAGAAGATTTTTAAAGAATTAGGGTGAATTCACCATGCTTCGGACACTCTTGCACTCCAACAAGTTCTAGCGATATCGCTACCGACCGAACATTATCAAAATGGAACTTAACATGTAGTATGTGGTTAAAATATAAATTTTTGACACAATCGTGCCCTATTTATTGAGAAAATATTATTAGAAACCGATTTTTTCGAAATAAGTCAGAATTCACCATGGATCAGACAATATTCACCATGCATCGGACATACGATATTTAAACCAGAAAAATATCATACCTTGATCTCGGTGCTTTAAAATTAGAGATATCGAAACATTTTTATCTTTTATTTAAAAATTAACTTTCTAATTAAATTTTAATGACTATTTCGATCCACAAATATGAAGAGATTTTAGTTGCATCACATCGCCTTAGAAAGGCTTTACAATGCTAGTAATATGGCAACTCGCGCCTTTGTCTCGTGGGTTATAATCATCTAGTTTAAAGAAATAAATTGAGTCCACCTCTAGTAGTCATATATCGATAATTTGTATTTTCACTGAAAATTTAGAGTTTCTATTTTCTATTTCCGTAAACAACAGCTATCATTTGGGTTTTACATGAAAATGAAAGTGATTACCATGCATCGGAAAGTGTCCGATGCATGGTTAATTTGTGTCCGATGTAAGGTGAAATAAACATACTAGTTAAAAACAACTCTAAAATATATTATACAAACATTGAAGTAAAATTTTTGAAAAAAAAACTGTAATATTATCAATCACTGACAATTTTTACCAAGGTCCGACCCGTTCCGTTGACGTCTATTTAAAAGAACGACAACTCTAAAAATTGCAAAATCGTAAAATTCTGGTTACTCCCCTTTGATGATGCAAAATATGACGTAATTTCAAGGCCATTCTTGTGGTATTTTTATCACAACATGAAAATAAAAATCGGCATCATTAAAAAGTTTAAATCTTCACCTTTAAGACAGAAACAAGTAAAAACACGGGGAGACTCGGGTTCATTGAAAGTTTATTGCTTAAAGTTGTCCGAAGCAAGGTATGTGTCCGATGCATGGTTAACTCACCCTAATGCATTTTCACTACATAATCAATGGAACCCTGCCCTAACACCAGAATCCCTGACCCAGTGTCCATGAATTTCACAATTTTGGAAGAAGCATCCTTGCTCATCATAACCATGCACTTAGTTTGTGTGCTAAATATATGGGGGAAAGAAGAAGGTTTTCAAAGAATCAATGCATTTTCACTATGATCAGTAGAGTCCCACCCTACTCTAGAACCCCTGAACCTTGGGCAATTAATTTCACAATTTTGGTAAAAGACTCCTTGCTTGTTATAACCATGCTAACAGTTTGACTGCTTGATGTCCAGGAGTAAAAATGAAGATTTTTTGAAAATTGCATTAAATTTGATGGCTTGGCTCCCATCCCTCAGGCCCCAGGGGGGGGCAGGGACCATGAAATTCACAATATTTGCCCCCCACCCCCCACCCACCCCCCTTGCCCACAGATACTCTAAACCAAAACTGGTTGAAATTGGTTCAGTGGTTTATGACAAAATGCTGAAAATGTTCAAAAGTTTACGACTGGTGATGGACAAAAACAGACAGCAATAGGTCACCTGAGGTGACTTAAAAAAATTATTGTGAACAGTTACTTTGAAACTGAGCAAAACATGAAATAGGAAATGGTGATGCCAAGGTTACAGGGAAGGTCAGTCAGAAAATTATGTCTCATTTGAAAAGCCCTCTTCAATATTTATCAGCAAACTGTGTATGAAATTTGGTTAAAATATCCCGAACAGTTTCTTTAAAACTGAGTAAAATGCAAAGTGTGACAGATGGACAGACAGAAGGATGGAAGGATGGACAGATAGATGGACATGAAAAACTCTGTATGTACCTGCCATATTTATGGTGGGGCATAAAATTTTAGAACTTAAGGAACTACATCTGTGTGTGCCCAGGAATCCACTATAAGCAAGGTTTACTCTACATTGTGTCATCACTTGCTAAACAATATTTTATGACGTTTTATTTATTTTTTTTTTTTTCATTTCAAATATGACTGGACATGACATATAAGTTTATACATGTATACACACAGAATAATGTAATTCAATTTAATTTGAAATTCTTTTTTAAATCAATAATCTTGGCAGTTCATATTCCAAATGTGTTTACTTAAAGTTCAAGCAATGAATGAACTTTTCAAGAAATAGCACTCAAAACTCTCATTTCTTATCACACAGCTGTTTGTCATATGAACTTAAATATCCATCGCTTTATAATTTTAAAATCGAGAACAATTCCAGTCGTATAGGGTTTCACCATATTTTTTGGGACCTGGTCCTGAAAAAAAGAAAGAAAAAAAGTTATAAAAATTAATGAAAGAAAAGAAAGGCCCATAAGCCTGAATGGTCATCTAAATATCCTCTAGGAAAACTTTCTAGGAAATTCTCTGCACAGCTCTCTGTATCCTACATTTCAAGCTCTCCAAGTATACCTGATACAAATTGTTGACATAGACAAAATTTCATCATTTCCCCCCATATATCAAAACGAGTTGATCCTCATCTACTGGATATGTATTTTATCAAACTTCAGAGAAGGACTCATTGCTTAATCATGAAAATGATGAATTTGCTAAATGGCACAGGGAATAAAGAAAGATTTTAAAAGAAGATTATGGTAAATGTATTTTCAAATGAAGCCCCCACCCTTATAAAAGAAAGATGGACCCAGATGACATGCAATTTTAATTATAGTAGACAAACTAATTAATTAACAATTATTTAAAAAAATTAATTTCCCAGTATACCAAAGTTGCTTGAAATTGTTTCAGCCACATGGGAAGAAACAACACTGTTTAAAAGATTCACTATGCACAACAATGAATGGGAACAAATAGCAATAGATCTCTAAAAAAAAAAAAAAGGAGTCATATCTTTGCTAGTTTGTTTTTCATCCTTAAACAATAATCTTTCTACCAAAAAGGATACTTTAACAGGGTTTGAAATGATAAGTATTGTAAATCAATGATACAGGTAGCACCTATGAGTAGCCTTGAAAAAAAATTAATAAAAGTGTACAATTATTTCTAATACTTAGTTATAAGTGCAGCTATTCACTGGCTTGGACCAGTTTGGAAGCTAGGCCATATTAAAACTTATCGACTTACCTACATGTGGAAAATCCTCTCTATGTTGTTCAAAGTACAACTCAACCAGTTTATGTCGCCTTGTGTATCTCTTGTAATTCCATGTCCTCCATGATTCCAAAAGAAACATGACTAAACATGCTTTTCCAACACCTACTGTTGCCATTCCTGTGAAACATAATGAAATCCACTGAATTTAAGCTTAAACTTACTTAATTTTTAAGATAATGTAATGTTCACTTCAGGTTCATTGTCCCTCTACTCAGTCACTCATATGAAAATTTCCAAAAGAAATCTAAATTATAATTGAAATGCAAACATTTTGTGGGTTTCATGTCTACAGGCTAAAATGAGCCTGTGGGAGAAAAAGTTAATTTCGATTCTTGACGGCCCCATTTTATTGTTTGTGTTTCTTCATCATCTTAGAAGAGATTATAGCAAGCTCTTAGTAAGCGATTAGAAACATTGGACTGCTGCACGTTGAACCAAATGTCAGATTTTTTCCACACTGTTAACCAGGACCAGCACAATCTCTTGATTTAGCTATATAGCTTGAATTAGCTATATAGCTTTATTAAGCTATAAAGCTATTTATATGTAGTTTTTCACAAAAATGTTTTTTGTGTAAAATAGATAAAAAAGTCGCAAGTATTTGACTTTTCATAATATAATTATGTACTATGGACTATTAAATAAAACAACCCATATCAAAGAGTGTTCTAATATTGCAGCATTATTTACTTTTAAGCAAAAGATTTATTTCCATTGTTTGGATAACTGTACACCACCTTGTGTTTGGTGAGGCATGAATAATAGGGCTGTGTACTTAGCAAAAAAATCTGACACGGTACGATACAACATTTTTTAATGCGATATCTGATATATAGGATTCTTTAACAAGTATATCAAAAAAGTTTTCCAAGTTCTTGTCTCACTGTCATTACAAATTACACTTCAAATTCAAACTTTTAACGACTGTGAAATCAACATGTTAAAATAAAGTTGTCTATGTATTTTGTAATATTTATCTATGATGTGCTATCTTCCTAATGACTATATCATTACTGATCAATTTTAATTCAAAACAGTGAAAATATAACCTTTGGTGATGGAAATTCCCAACTATTTCACAGAATTATAAGAAAATCTGCCTGTCTGATACATATTGGAAGTTATTTTTTCGATACGATACATTCTTAAATATTGATACGTATCAATATATCGATATATTGATACAGCCCTAGTGAATAAGTATGATTGCTTCACAATGTGCTGACTTATTACCGATCAATTATCTTGTTGACCAGAATTGACCTCCTTTATAACTTCATTTAACCCCAGTCTCATCATTTTTCTGCAATTTGACGCAAGTTTTCTGCAAAAAAAATCCTGCTTTCCCGTGACAAGTTTTACTGCTTTTCAGCGATTATAGTTTTTAGCTTTTCCGCAACTTCTTTATCGTATCTCTTCCGTTAGCCAGGTAAAAACCTTTTGCCCCCCACTTACTACGGGGAGGTGAAAATAGGATTTTAAGTAGTAGGATCTCATTACTGAGGTGTTTGTGAGTATTTTTTGTATTCACCATGGCAATTCCTTTAGCATCAGTTGTAATCGTGGCTTTGCAGATTTATCAACACTGCATCGGTATGACAAATCCCCATTCTTGAAAACATTTACTTTTCTGTATGTTAATCCATTTGTTCCCCCAATTTGTTTCTGTATGAACAATTTCCATATTGTTTAAAACATCTGAAACCTATCACCGACCAGTGTGAACTGAGAGATTCATTAAATTTTTATCACTACCAAGTACCGGTAGAATGCTTTGGGGAAATACAGGTATATATTGGCAACTGTTTGATGTTAAGCTGAGCTGGACCATTTAAAAATTGCGGAATGGAAGTATCAGAAAAGGATATAATACATAACATATAGTACAAGAGGCCCATGGGCCACATTGCTCACCTGAGCACATTGGCTAGACACAAATCAGTTCAGTATTGAAAAGATTACCGGGGGTTGGGGGGGTTGAATTTTAAACTACCTGATGATGCTTCCATGTCAATATAACAAATGGCTTTGTTGTACTTGAGAAGATTTTAAAATTTTTTTCCCATATATTCCTTTGTAAAATTTTGATCCCCCATTGTGGCTCCTCCCTATCCCAGAGGTCATCATTTGAACAAACTTGAATCTACACTACCGGAGGATGCTTCCATATCAATATGACTAAACATAGCTTTTCTGTTCTTGAGAAGAAATATTTTTTCTATGTGTTCTTACATAAAACTTTCGATCCCCATTGGGCCCCACCCTACCCCTGGGGGTTATCATTTGAAAAAAAAAATTGAATTTACACTACCTGAGGATGCTTCCATATCAAAATGACTAAACATGATTTTCATTTCTTGAGAAGAAGATATTTTCCAATATGTTCCTATGTAAAAAAATTTTGATCCCCCATTGTGGCCCATCCCTATCCCTGGGGTCATCATTTTAACAAACTTGAATCTACACTACCTGAGGATGCTTCCATATAAATATGACCAATTAGGGCTTTGCTGTTCTTGAGAAGAAGATACCTTCCTATATATTTTTATTTCAGGCATTGATCCTCCATTGTGGCCCCGCCCTACCCCCGGGGATCATGATTTGAACAAATTTAAATCTACACTACCTGAAGATACTTCCACATAAATATGATCAATCAGGGCTTTGCTGTACCTGAGAAGATTTTTAAAGATTTTTCCTTTATATTTCTATTTAAAACTTTGATCCTCCATTGTGGCCCCAACCTACCCCCGGGGGGTCATGATTTGAACAAACTTGAATCTACACTACCTGAGGATGCTTCCATATAAATATGACCAATTAGGGCTTTGCTGTTCTTGAGAAGAAGATTTTTAAAGATTTTTCCTATATATTTCTATGTAAAACTTTGATCCTCCATTGTGGCCCCACCCTACCCCCAGGGGTCATGATTTGAACAAACTTGAATCTACACTACCTGAGGATGCTTCCATATAAATATGACTCATCATGGCTTTGCTGTTCTTGAGAAGAAGATTTTTAAAGGTTTTTCCTATATATTTCTATGTTAAACTTAGATCCTCCATTGTGGCCCCACCCTACCCCCGGGGGTCATGATTTGAACAAACTTGAATCTCCACTACCTAAGGAATGCTTCCATATAAATATGACTTATCATGGCTTTGCTGTTCTTGAGAAGAAGATTTTTAAAGGTTTTTCCTATATATTTCTATGTAAAACTTTGATCCTCCATTGTGGCCCCGCCCTACCCCCGGGGTCATGATTTGAACAAATTTAAATCTACACTACCTGAGGATGCTTCCACATGAGTTTCAATTTCCCTGGCTTTGTGGTTCTTGAGAAGAAGATTTTTAAAGGATGCTATTAATTTTTCACTAATTCTTTATTATCTCCCCTTGAAAGAGGGCATGGCCCTTCATTTGAACAAACTTGAATCCTCTTCACCCAAGGATACTTTGTGGCAAGTTTGGTTGAAATTGGCCCAGTGGTTCTTGAGAAGAAGTTGAAAATGTGAAAAGTTTACAGACGGACAGACAGACAGACAGACGGACAGATGGACTACAGACAAAATGTGATCAGAAAAGCTCACTTGAGCCTTTGGCTCAGGTGAGCTAAAAAACCAATTGCAGAAAAGCAGTATAGAGTAGTCACGGAAATGCAACAAGGTTAAAAAAAAATTGCAGAAAAGCAGGTCAGACCATTCAACAAGTAACTGTGAGGTTCCAAATCAATTGCCTTATATAGCCCCAAAACTTTTAGAACTTTGTGTACAAATTCCTGAAGGAAATGCAATTTGATGAGCGATTTTTACAGGCATTCTTTTCAGAAGAGTTCAAGGTTGATTACTACCACTGCACCAAGGTATGACTTTTATTAATCTCGGTGGAGATTCGGCTGGGCTAGATATTTGGACTGACGCCCACCAAATCTCGGGACAGTCCTTCATAATTCATGTCTGGGAATTCAGCCCCAATTTCGGCCGGCTATATCAAGAATTATTCATCTAGGCGACACTGGTGTTCGCTTCAATTAAGTCATTTAGTTGTTTAATTAACTCTCTGTCACTATTCTCCACCGAGATTATAGACTTTTATGTACATTTGTACCAGAAAAAGTGTGATAAACTAGCTAAATCAAGCTATTTTGTATAGCTTAATAAAGCTATATAGCTAAATTCAAGCTATATAGCTAAATCAAAAGATTGTGCTGGACCTGCATGTTAACATATTTATGAGTCTATCTGTTAATGATTAATATGGTGAAGAAACCGTCAGCTGACCGTATCTGAAAAATGCATACCACTCTATATTAAATGTTTGTAAGTAACAATAGTATGTCTTTGCTTTGTTCGACTTACTCGTATAATAAGGAACTTTCCTTTGAGCATTCTGAAGAGCATGACTGAACAGTGCCAAGGCTCCAATAATTGGTGTCAGAAGGCCAACTTCTCTTTTCATAGCGGAATTATGTCCGATGTTCTTATCAAAATCAAACACCCCTGCATACTCCTCTTCCTTTTCAAAATCGCCTTGTTCGATGTTACTCATGTTTATTTTTTATTTGTCTCTCTCTCTCTCTATCAGAATTTCGTTTCTCCTCCAAAATGTCCTACAACGTCTTAGTAGGTCGTTCGACAAGTTGGTTAGGATTAGACGTATTGTGTTAATGAATTTGGATAATTTTGCCTAGAAAAAGTTTTTTTTTTTAATTATTCCCAACATATAAGTCTGTGTTATATCATGAAATTTGTTTTAAAAAATACAAATCCATAAATGATAAAATACGAAGCATTTTGGTGCGACTATCTTACTTTCTCTTTTGTTTTAACACTTGAAAACAAAAATGAGCACAAGGACATCAAAAATCGCAAATATTTCCCTGAAAAACGCAAAATCTTGTTGCAATAATGGTAATTTTGGAAGATCATTTGCTCATTATTTATTATATTTGAAATTAGCACCAGAAAAGACGGATGATGTATTGATAGATTTCGTGTTTGTGATGAGAAATTGGACTGAACAACTCGAAAGAGAAAATAGGATAGAAGATCTCTTCCGTTGCTACGAACAAGCGTGTGAAATTATACCAGACTGTGAAGTCGTACTGAATAATATTGGTGCTCAACTATTTCGGTAAATATCTGTTCGTAATACATCTACATGTTTAGAGAAGCATATCGATCCAAGATTAAAGTTACATGAATTGTGGAATAATCTAAAGGTGATTTCGTTCTTTCATTGTTTTAAAGGTTTGTCCACCTTGTTGACATTTAGAACTCTCTGAATTATTCATAGTATATGCATAGATTAGAATTATCTGCATGTACATGTACCCCAAATTCATTTTATGAGCTCTCCGAATACATGCTACGAGAATCCCATACTTAAGCATGTGAAGAGTAGTGTTCAATTTTTTAGTTTGAAATCTAGCCATGACTACCCATTTTTGCAGCTGAAGAATTATTCTATTTATTAAACAATAAAATTCGCAGTTTGCAGCTATAAATATTTGCTAGGAAAAGAAGATTTCAAAACATGCAAAACTCACAGATACTTCTCACACACAAATAGAATTTGGTTCACAGTAAATGTCACAATGTATGCTTAGATCATCTCTTATATTCTGTAAGGTCATGCGGGGTTAGTTTTAATTAGCTTACATTTCTAGGTAGGATGTTTGAAATATAGCGAAAGTAAGTCACAAAAGTGAAGCAATTAATTTTAAAAAAAAGTGTTCCTTACTTATCTAATGCTTACATTAATATGGTTCAGATGACCAGATTATGGTAATAATGAGATCCAGAATTAATGTGTGAAGTAATACCTACATCCTTTGATCATGTTGATCATTTATATTGGTGAGTGCATCATGGATTTTTATAATAAAAGAACACTTGGTAGCAGAAACATGTAGGCCTGAGTATTGCAAGCTACCAAACAATACAATACATATCATGATACGGTCATGCGATACAACATGTATCATGATACAGCTGTCAACAATACGTTCTATTTCCATTAGTGAACTCTTCAAAATTAGAGGCGCGTTTGGTCGTCTGACTGGGACAGCATGGCGTTGCGGATAATACAAAATATGCCAATCTCAATCCAATTTTAAATGTTAAATGTATTTGTCATTCCAATTAATGAATAGAAGAACTAAAAGACATATGTAAAAGAGCGAGAACCCCAAATTTCGCATCCATTAATAAAAAATATGACATTTCCGAGGCATGTGCATTGTATTTAGATGTGCCATACATTAAATAGATACATACGATCAACAATAGATATAAATTGATATTGTTGTCATTCCTACTCTTGATGTTTATCAAGTCCACAATAAAATATTTCATTTGCATTTTCTTAAGAATTGTTCATCGACATTCAACATATTGTTTACATGTTTATGTTACGTTTGTCCAAGAAATCCCACGATATTTGTACATTTTCCAACTTTTTCACAAAAGAGCACACTAAGAAGTATAACTCTTCCATAGTGGAAATAGAACGTATTGAATTAACCGTTATCTTAACATATACCCGGTAGTTCTTTGCTAACCTCCATAGTTTTAGAAAATATAAAAAGAATATCTTGATACCCCTGACCAAAGTTAATAAAAGGTGTATTTATAGTCTTGACATATTTTTTCTTGCTACCCTTTTTTCAGCCATTTTAAACATTAAAATTTGTTAGGTTGCATGTAGAAATTTCAAACAAAACAATGGAAATTATCTTTACTGTATCATGATACATACATGGCGATACGATACACGTTTCGTGAGCCCTTGCGATCAATGCGATTGATGTATTGCTGTATCGTTACACCTCTAAAAACATGATATTGTAAGATGGCATTTTCAAATTCTAATAGCATTGGATACTTAGAAGAGGCAGCTGCCTATGTTCGCAAGTCCCTGGAGATAAATCCCGATTACTCAGCAGCTAGAGAAAATTTGGACAACATTTGCTGCCATCTTGTTGAGCGCTGGCATTTCAGGATGTTGAATGATGTTAAAAGAAATACTGCCTACCTGTCTGCAATTCAAACAGTTTCAAAACTTGGTCACACTAGCATTTTAGACATGGGAGCTGGAACTGGGATATTAAGGTTTGTGTGTGATCTACCATTTCTTTATAGTAGCATAGCATTACTAGTACCTCTATCATAAGAAATCTGGTGTCAGTAACATTTTTATGAAAAATGTTACATACAATAACAAGCATAGTTCATTTCATTTCATTAGGCATTATGAGTAGAGCAATTGAAATTCTTCTGCTAAGGCCAATAGCATAATGTAAAATGCACAGATAAATATTCAGCCTTAGACTGGTAAAATTACTCTCAGGCTTGAGGAAATTTAACATTTACAAGCACAATGGACTTGTGAAATATGTTGCTGGGGAATAAATAAATTTCAGGCATATTAAGAATTACTAAAGAAACAATTAAAGCTGATATTGAAGTAGTGTAATCATGTAACTTTCTACAAGTTATGGAATAATTGACATGATAAGTATTCACTTATTAATACATGCATATTAAAATTAATTGCAAAGTTGAAAAAAAAATTGTTGGCATGTAAAATGTCATCCTCACAGTGTTAAGGTTTTGTGATTTCGGAACTCCACACAAACCCTTGACATAAGTCGCTATTTCAATGTTGGGCTAGAAAGCTACTACAGTGTACTTCATTTGTTCCTGGTCTAGGACTGGAACCAATCAGAAAAACAGAAAAACAGCTTTTATTGTAGGTAAATTTTGTAAACAGATATGACTCATCTTTAAAATGGGAAGTGTCGATATTGGAGGATTTGTGACTAGTTACATTAAATGAAACATGGTTTTGGAAGATCGTCATCCTAACAGTATAACAAAAGATATGCTCTGGAGTTGGGCCATTTGTAAACAATGGATTTGAAAGATACATTCTCATTGGTTAGTTTATAAACACCCATTATGTCATGTGTAACCAGAAACCCAACTTTTAAATACTCATTAGCGACTTATGTCCAGGGTTTGTGTGGAGTTCCGAAATCACAAAACCTTGACATTGTGAGGATGGTAAAATGTGAAATGAAACCACCAATTGATATTAATTTTTAGATTTTGTATGTTTATTTTAGCATGTTTGCTAGAGAAGCCAAATTTAAGAACATCTATGCATGTGAACAATCGAGAACAATGTGTGACTTGATTGGGAAAATTCTTGCTGCAAATAAATGTGAGGATGAGGTCACACTAATTGGCAAAAATTCCACGGAGCTAATTCTAGGCATGGACTTTCCAGAAAGGTAATGTTTCAAATCTTAAACACCACTTCTTGATTTTAAATTTTGTCAAGTAACAGCTGCCATGTGAGTAATAAATATTTCTATGCTAAATTTTTAACTGTAAAAAAAGAACATTAGTTTAAAAAGGATAATGTATAAGAATCCTCTTGTCCATCTGTCTGTCTGTCCATCTATCTGTCTGATTGTGTCTAGACCATCACTTTGCAATGGAGAAACATTGGAAATTCATACTTGACAAAGGATGTTTTGTGACTTTACCAAGGTCATTTGTGCAGTTCAAGATCACTGTCAGAAAAAGTGTATTAATTCATTCTCAGTTAATTACTCCGTATTGGAGAAATGTTGAAAGTTGATACTTAAAATAAAGATTACTTATGAGGCGAAGATATGTCATGTGCTAGATCCAAAATCATTTGTACAAGTGCAAGGTCACATGTAGAAGAATGTGTAATACCTGTCCTGGCCATATCTTATAATGAAGCAGCATTGGCAGTTCATACTTCACATAAGGTTAACTGTTTGCTTATGCCCTCAGGGTCTATCATGACATTGACAAGGGGTTTGGTGAAGTTGACAGGTTAAGGTCACTGGGAGGAAAAAGTGTGTGAAATTAAATTGTGTTTAGTCCATAACTCTCTAATGGAGAAATACTGGAAGTTGATTGATACTTCACAAAGAGATTACTTATGAGGTAAGGGTGTGTTATAATCTTTGATGCAAGGCCATTGGGCAAGTTCAAGGTCACAGGTTGAAAAATATTTCTAATGGAGAAACATTAGAAGCTCATGCTTCAGATAGAGATTACATATGACTTGAAGTTGTGTCATGATTTTGAACAAAGGTCATTTTTATAAGGTCAAGGTCACTATAGAAAAATGTAATAAATCTTGTCTTTGACATAGCCTGAATTGGAGAAACACTGGAAGATCATTCTTGACACAAAACTTACTTACATTTGATGTTTCTTGACCTTTACCCTGGTCATTTGGCTAAGTTGAAGGTCACTGGCAAAAAAAAGTCAAATTCATGTCCAGTCCATAACTATTTTGAAAATTGTTGGAAGCTTATACTTCAGATAAAGATTACTTATGACTTGAGGGTTTGTCATGACCTTAAACCATGGGCAAATTGAGGTCACTTTCAGAAATTGTATACCTCCTGTCCTGTCTAATTAAGAAACATTGGAAGCTTATGAATACTTGGCACAAAGATTACTTACGACTTAAGATTGTTGTATGACATTGACCCAAGTCATTTTGAACATGTCTAAGGTCACTGAGAGAAAAAAGTGAGTAAACTGAGTCTGGTCTATAGCTTTCTAAAAGAAACTTTTGATGCTATGAAAGCTGTAATGAGGGATATAATTTTGTGAGAGTTACCACAGTACATCTAGTTTATTGAAAGGGATGTGAAAGAAAATTATCATAAATTTGTGTGGTCTCTTTTTTTAATTAGATTAGACTTGCTTGTAACTGAAACTTTTGATGCTGCATTATTTGGAGAGCATGTGATTCCATCCCTTATCCATGCTTGGGATAACATACTTAATCAGGTATGAATGATTTGATACAATTGAAAAATAAAATACTAACCTTAGCAAATGCTAACCTATGTAAAAGTGTAAAGTTTGTGACAGTTATTAAATCTGAAGTGAAAATGGAGGAAACTTGTACATGTAGATTTGAGTGAAAAATTAATTTCACTGATTTAATTTTCTGTCTAATTACAGGAATCTGGCAAAGTGATACCAGAGAGAGCAACTGTTTATGTGTGTGCAATAGAGTGTGAAAAACTAAGGCTTCAGAACAGGTAATATACAGGTGGATGAAAACTCAGGTACAACTAACTTTTAGCCTCTGCAGTATTTGTTTTGCTGTGTGCATAATTTGATCTATTCAATTTATATTTATTAAGAGAATATACCCTGATAGTTGAGGGATTTTGTTGGCAAATAGAAATCCAGCCTGAAAGGCGAGGTTTTTACTTGCCAACAAAATCTCGAGACTGAGGGGTATATTCTCCAACATATCCGACGACGAGGGAATTATTTCTATTCTGCTACAGCAGAGGAAATATTTAAACTTCTCTATAGAGAAATGCAGAAGCTAGATTTGGACATTATCATATGTGTCTTATCACTCTTATGATGTCACAATTGAATGCTATCCTTGTTCATTTGTAACTCAAGGATTAGAAAAAGTACAATGTAATCCGAACCCATAGTTATTTTTTCCCACCAATTTGCATCACAATCAAAAGATACCTCTATCCTTTACCTAGTGAAGGCAGTCAAAATTAGAGGAAACCGATTTAAAATTATCGATAATTTATTGATGACGCTTGTGATTTATTGGAGAATAATGGCCGTGGCATCTCTTTGATCTTTGCAATAACCACAGTAGAATACATAGTATTTCTTTCTCATGTCTGTATTTTGATACATACCATTTTTGACTAATTATTGAGTGTAACTTGGTTACAAAATCTCAATTCAATTTGAGCAGGTATGTACTATCAGGTAAGCATAACATTCTTCAATTAAAAACAACCAGAATGGAAATACTGCTGTTGAGCTTTGTAGTACACTTTCTAATTTGTCCAGTGGTATCTGTGGCATAAAAAATCCAAAATTTTTATACATGTATATTTTTAGTAGGCAGTTTTTGAGGATAGAAGCATATCAGAAATATCTGTAGTTACTGAGGATGATGCTCATAAACATGTCATCTGTTTGCAGGATTATATTATGTACTGAGCAGCTAGCCCTGTACCAAAATTGTGAAATTAAATGGCTACGTGTATAAGTCTGCTATTGTTCCCTTTTTTGCCACTTTACTCTCCCACCCAACTTCCATGCAAAATATATTTGTACAAGAAATCAATTGCTATATTTTAACAGGTTTTTGTATCCTGGGCTACAGAATCTAGATTTCAACAACATCCACATTATATGTAACACATCGCATTCCCAGGATGAACCTTATTCAACAGAAAACCTTCACAACATGAGCGGACATTTCAAGTTCCTGTCTGACCCTACCAAACTGTCAGTCATTGATTTCAATGATGTACAGGTATTGATTTTAATAAGCTTAAGCTATAAATTTCTCTTACAGTAGAAGTACTTTTTTCTGTGTGGTATAAATTTATGGTATGTACACAGTCACAAATTTTCTGCGGAAATTTGTCCTATATACTTAAAGTACTTTTAAGGCGAATGTGGCAATCAAAGAAATTCCCATAATTTTCTTCCTGCGGATTGAACAGAAATTATGATTATGCAGAATTTAGACCTCAAGGAAAGAAGAACGTTTACAATATTTAAACTGTAGATTTATGAAAAGTCAGTTTTGGATACTGTAAATGTGGATATAATTACGCAATTCAGTAGGAAAAAGACATCCCCATTGAGGTTATTTTTGAAGTGCCTGAATAATGTATTTTTTAATACTGAAAAACATAGACTACTTAAAAAGGCATTGGTACAATATGGGAAATATTTGCAAGAATGATTTCTTAGTCTGTATTTTGATGAATTACCTATGCAAGTAAATGCCTTTAATTCAGAATTGATGCAAAAAAATTTTAACCCTTAGGTGAAAGAAATGTTAATTCTAAATTATAATTATGATTCACAGAGGAAATAGCACTGGTATAATCATTCTAAATCACTGTAAAAATTACATGTATTATAAACTGAAATCAATCTAATTAAAATTAAATGTTCTGAATCTACTACCGCTTCCCAAGAAATGGTAGCACATTCAGAACATCTAATTTTAATTACTGTAAATGTACTTTTTTACATGGGATCAAAATTCCATGGAATCACAATTTCTGGTCAATCCCCAGGTAAAAAATTACATGAATTTCTGAGAATGCCTTTATGCCTTGAATGCAACTTAAGAACACAGTGACAAATTTCCAAGGAAAACATGACTGCACAAATACATGTAGCATAAATTAATCGTGGAAAAAAAGTATGTCAGCAATAGATTGAACTGAAATATATTTTCTAGATGCTGAAAACACTCCAGGAGGGAGTTAACTTTGAGGTGAAAATTTCCATCAAATCCCCAGGCAAGCTTGATGCCTTGGCTGTTTGGTTTGATCTTCATCTGTTTCAAGACATCTCCATAACAACCAGTCCATCTGTCCCAAACTGCTGGGAACAAGCAATTTTTCCTGTAATACCCTCCAAATCACCAAATTCAAATACAGGTATCCTCTTTATGACTCCCTTGCAACATTGAAATGGGATCTGCAATTTTTCTTATGTTTTTTTTCTTTGAGTTTAATACAGTAAAATTCAGTTATAGCAAAGACCTGGAGACCCTCAAATTTACTTTGCTATATCCGTAATTCGTTATATCCGTATAACTGATTTGTTAATTAATAAAGTATGTATAGTGAATTCACAATATAAATGTACATCGTTTTCCTTTAAGTATGACTACCAAATATATTTTTGGGAAGTTTCATATACAAATTTACCTATAGTTTTTGGGTGAATTGATTTCAAATATAAATACTTACAAAAAATAATGTCAGTTCAATATTTAAATTTTGAGGTCTTTTAAAATTTGTAATAAATGATGTAAATTTCATTATTTTCAATCTCCACAGGACACAAAATCAGTTTGCTATATTCGTAAATTTGCTATATCAAATTTTAATTGTTATAACCATACAATTTTACAAGAATATTGTTAAGAATTTTGCTTGGGATCCCAGTAAACTTATCTGTTTTTCTATAGCCATGTTCATACTAAATAAGTTTTACTGTATTGTAATTCCTTCTTGGCAAATTTTGATGTTGCTTATAATCATAATCATTTAATGTGTATTGTACGATATCTCAAAAGCATTCAACTCAAATAGTGAAATGAAATTACATCCTATTCTCCACGGTTTGAAATATATAATCTGTGTTTATCAAACACATCTTGTTGATCTATTATCTCAATGATACATAAATTGGATAAAAATCTACATAAACTATTAATTGAGAACTGATCGTGAAAGATTATAATTGTCACTGAACTTTGTGTTCTTTTGTAAACCATTTACAGATGAAAAGGGGAGTATTAATCAGAAAGAAGGAGACAGGATCATCTCAGTCTTCAGCCTCAACCAGAATCATCTGCATCTCAAATCATGGCAGAAGAGAGAAATTGCCAACAGTCCAGCAACCGAGGAAAATAAATGCCAAAACTGCAGCAGAGAAGAAAAGGTGTTCTACATGGACAGATATGAACTTTACAGATTAAATAATCTGCATTTGAACAGAATGTTATGTAAAGCTTTGGCTCAAATTAAAACTCAGTGCACTGAAAGAAATTTGACTCTTTTGGACTTCTCTTCCACATTTTCTCCCATCAGCCTTCAGATGGGTCGTCATGGTTACCAATCTGGAACAGTAGTTATGAAGTCTGAATTTCATGAATTGTATCAGACTCTTTTGAATACAAATGAGTTGACAGATTTGAATTATGATGTTTTGGATGTGAGTGAATGGCCAGACTTAACAAGAAAACATGACATTATTCTTTGTGATCCTGTAGAACTGTGTGGAGCATTAAGGCAGCAGATTTTTGAAGATTTGGACTTACTGAAGTAATGTCATTTTCTTTGAGATTTGAATCTTTAAATTTTTTTTTTATTTTGTATTTGCATATTTAAAAAAATTAAAAATAATAACCCCTCCAAAAAAATACAATTTTTAAAAATGTTATTATTAGGACCTAACTCTTTCATGAAATTCAGTGAAATATTTTGATACATACATGTTTATGTGTTGAATTTGAATCTGTTGATTTTTAAATTGAATCACTTGTTAAATTTTTTGTTAACCTTTTTGTTTTGATACCAGCAACTCACATTACAAAGTTATAAATATAAAATGCTCCTTTTTTCATCTGTAGATTGACTTGTTTAGAAGCAGATGGACAAATTGTTCCAGGGATCATTAGAATCAATGCCATGTGTATAGAGTCAGAAAGCTTGTTGTCAGATAGTGCTGTACTTGGAGATGATGTAACCTTAGGACTTCGCATTGCTGAATTTATCAATGGGTATCAGGTAATTTAATGATGAAATATTGTACTTTCCCCTTAGAATATAAAAGAAAAAGAGAAGATTTTAACTTTGCATTTTAAATTCAACAGCACTACAGCAGAATCATTTCATTTTTATCAGTATGATAATAATTATCACAGGGAAAAATTGAGGTTGCAAGGATATTCATAATGTGCTCTTTTTTTGCAGAGGAAAAGTTCCAAATTTCACAAGATACAGATATATTATGCAAATGTGAATTTTTACCAAGTTTACAGCAATATGCAATAACAATTTTGCCCAAATTTAAGTTTTATTTTCAAGCAAGAATTTCACTTTTTTGCTATTCTTTTATCTTTTTTGGAAATTCACTCTGAAATGTATGATAATAAATCATTATTAAAATTTCCCAGTTCATTACATGTATAGCACTTTGTGCCTCTTTTGTACAGTGTGTATTAATTAAGAAACTTTTCCTATAACATTAGGCAGCCACACACCTGGATGTTGATTTACTTCACCTGGATCATGTCCGGCTCACAGGTCCATTTCAACTTTTCCAAATTGACTTGAATGAAAAGTGTACAGATAAGCCCTCATCTTTTCTGGACTTAAAAACAAGCATCAGTGTAACAGCTTCAGATACAGGTCATGTGACTGCGGTTATTTACTGGTTTGAATTTGAACTTTGTGAAGGAATAACTCTGTCAACTTTAGAGTCAGTGTTGCCATGGAATCAAGCAGCTGTGATGATGAAATCATGTGACCTTGACCTTGTTTGTGGTCAACAGGTGAAAGTTCATGCAACATTGAAAAACAGTTGTATAGGAATAACAATTGATGATGAATTCATGGAGGGGAGTTAGCAAATTGTTACTATATTCAATTTTAAATCTAAATACTGTATACAAGGAAATTTTTGCCCCCCCCCCTTTTGTTTTGGCCCTCAATGCAAGAGGCTTATTTAAAACAAGGCAAATTCAAAGAAGAGAGACTTATTTCTTTAAATCAACTTTGTCTGGGGCAAATTTTAAGATGGGGCAAAATCATTTGCAAGTTAAAGAGGGTTGAAATAGCCCGTATACAGTAGTATTTTTTAACAGGTCTGGACGATTTCCAAATATGGAAGTCAAGAACGATAACTGAAAGTTGCTATAAATATACATCATATACACGTAAATATTTTTCTGCCCAATCAGACAACAGCATTTTTTCACACCCCAAAACATATTTCAGAGGAACAATAGGAGAACATGTGCTTTTGTTTTTTTCCTCAAAAAGATTTTTTTGGCAAAAAATCATTAGAAGTAGGATGAAAAGTTCGGAAGAATAAGGTATTCCCCACATATTTACCGTGAACAAACTTGACATTTTCATCTCGGAAAAGAAAAAAAATAATGCATGTAACTATGCGATCGTTTATGGAGGAATAGATCACATCGTCAAGCTATTATCAAGCACAGTTATAACATTACCAGAACATACTCTGTGCTGGTATATATAATTTTGCTTAGCCGTCCGATTTTCATCGATAACGCAAGGTTTCCATACGTATAGATCTACTGCACACAAGTATTTATCGTATAGACTACATGTAGTTTTAAAATAACACGGGTTTCATGAGCGCCGAATACCATGTTATATACACTTTAAATGGACAAAAGGAAAGGTGAAAAACATGGAGAAAAGGGAACGTACATGGATTCTTTTTATCACCATATATATGCAAATCTTACCTCGCATTCCAGAAACTGCATGGACGATTTTGTAATAAGCACTCATGAAACAATTAAGACTGTTATATTCCAATACGTAAACATTTTCATGTTAGGCTCTAAAAACTGAAAATCTGTCGTATATATAGCGAATCTCTTAATACAAGTTAAACTTTTGGGGTTGCTACCTCGTAGTGACAGATTTTAATCCCACTTAGAATTTATTCTAAGCTTTCAAGTCGTGTTTGTTCACGGTAGAATTGTCATATATACTATATCATTCTTAAATGTGCATAAATTTTACAAAAAGTTTGTTCTAAAAAAATTTTTTGATCAAAAAACTCTAAAACCACGTGTTTTATTTATTTTCTCATCGGTATGTCTAAATGCCGTTATTTGATTGGTCAGAAGGATTAGCACCTTGTTCATTCTGTGTATTTATAGCAATTCATGGTTATCGTTCTTGACTTCCATATTTGGAAATCGTCCAGACCTGTTTAATGAATTGAATTTAAATAAACATGAATTAAATTCTGCTATTTGTATTAATTTTTTTATTTACTGGTACTTGCATAGTCTTTCGGACTGTCTTGCTACACTATGCTTGACTTTCTTGAACATAAGGCATATTGATTTTGCCACAACTGCCCATCCCTCAGTCTTTCTGGGCCATTACTTTTGAATGCCGTTTCCCTTGTGCAAGTTAAAGTTGTGATCTTGAATGATTCTGGTTATGATAGAGGATCGGATATCAAATTCTGTGCAGGCTGATATCATGCAATCTTTCCTTAGCGCTCTACGTTTGAACAATTTCTAAAATGAGGCTAGCTATTGACAAACAAGTTGATGAAACAAGGATATCAACAGTCTTGTTTGAAGTTATCATTTTTAAGCTTAATGGTCGATACAATGATCTTGTCAGCAATTACAACCTATTGTTTAGTCAAATGCTGACTGACGTTTTTTCATACTAATTGTTAGGCCATTATTTACACACTGAATTGTCTACAGATTTTTAGCTCTTCTGAGCCAAAGGCTCAAAGAGCTAATGCTATGACATTTGTGCGGTGTGCGTAAACTTTTTAGAATATGGGCCATAACTCAAGAACCTTTTGACCAATTATTGTCAAATTCGTCACAGGGTATCCTTGGCCCAAGGGTTCTCATTTATACTAAAACTAGGGTTGTGACTCTTAAACAAGGGGAGATAATTAGGAAAATAGAAACAAACGTACTGGTTGCTAAAAAATCTTCTCAAGAACCACTGGGCAGATTATCACCAGACTTATATAAAAGGATGAGGATATGTTGTAGATTAAAATTTGCACGGGGAATCGCCATGGGGCATGGTCTCAAGGTCATTTCAAAGTTGACCAAAAATTACATTTTATTAAAATGTTGATATTTTGCTTACTATAAGGACTAGGATCATCAAATTTGTCAAATGATGCATCTAAGGACCTCGTATCATGTTGACTCAAAAGGAGGTTACAGTGACCTACTTTTTAAATTTTGCACCCATTCTTTTTCAAAATGATTTAGAGGCATATTTTGAAGAATTTAAGGCCTATGATCATCAAACTTTGTCAGGTGATGTATCTTGATCCTCGGAGTACACCAACTAAAAAGTAGGTCACTTTGACCTACTTTTTGAATTTTATGGCTAATCTTTTTCAAAAAATTCAAGTCATTAATTTGAAAACCGAGGGTTTAGAATCATCAAATCTTATAAGATGATGCATCTTGGGGCCATAAAACATATTTATTAAAAAGTAGGTCACAGTGACCTACTTTTTGAACTTTGCAGGCATTCAAGTTCAAAGCGTTTTAGAGGTATAATTTGGACATTTTAAGACCTATGATCATAAAACTTTGTAGGTTGATGCATCTTGGGTCCTTGAAAAATCTTGGGTCCCTGAAAAGCGTCAACTGAAAAGTAGGTAACCGTGACCTACTTTTGAAATTTTATGGCTATATTTAAATATTTAGGGTACTATTTGGCTTAGAGTCATCAAACTTTGTCAGTTGATGCATCTTGGGTCTTCGGAGTAGGTCGACTGAAAAGTAGGTCACCATGACCTACTTTTAAAATTTATGGCTTTAATTAAATATTTCAGGTACTAATTGGCTTAAATCATTAAACTTTGTCAGTTGATGCATCGTGGGTCTTCGGAGTAGGTCAACTGAAAAGTAGGTAACCGTGACCTAGTTTTGAAAATTTATGGCTTTAATTAAACATTTCAGGTACTAATTGGCTTAGAATCATCAAAATTTGTCAGTTGATGTATCTTGGGTCCTCGGAGTAGGTTGACTGAAAAGTAGGTCACCATGACCTACTTTTTTCCAATTTTTATGGCTATAATGAAATATTTCAGGTACAAATTAGCTAAGAATCATCATACTTTGTCAGTTGATGTATCTTGGGTCCACGGAGTAAGTTGACTGAAATGTAGGTCACTGTGACCTACTTTTGAAACTTTATTGCTTTATTTAAATTTTTTAGGTACTAATTGGCTTAGAATCACCAAACTCTGTCAGTTGATGCATCTTGTTTTCTCGGAGTAGGTTGACTGAAAAGGAGGTCACTGTGACCTATTTTTGAAATTTTATGGCTTTATTTAAATATATCAGGTACTTACTGGCTTAGAATCATCAAACTTTGTCAGTAAATGCATCTTTGGTCCTCAAAGTACTTTCAATAAATAGTATAGCATATGTGATATTTTTCATATATTCTGAAAAGTAGGTCACTGTGACCTACTTTTGAAATTTATTTTTATAATTTTAAAAGTATTTTAGGTACTAATTGGCTTAGAATCATCTTGGGTTTTCAGAGTGTTTCATCTAAAATATAGGCCATGATGACATACCTTTGAAATTTCAAGGCTTTATCTAAATATACAGGATACTTAGAGGCTTCTAATAGAAGTGATAGGTTGTACAGTTTATCAGAAGAGCGATTCAAGGTCCTTTGGCCTCTTGTTCCGTTTTTCTCGATCATGACAAGGAGCACATGGCGGATGTGACCAGTAAGCAGGTGATGCCCACTCCTCCGTGGCACCTGATCCCACTTCTGATGTTTTTGGAGGTCCGTTTTTGCTCTGCTCCCAATTTGTACTGTTTAAATGGACTTTGAGCTTGAATACTGTTTATTATCTCCATATTTCATAGGTATATATGTAACGTGTCGAGCGGAATGTTAGCTTCTATCGGGGGTCGTACCTTGTCATTTCAAGGTTTTGGGGATGACTTCGATATAACAATTTTTCTTAATAAATGATTGGCAAATGATTGACAACAAAGGCCTGCAAATATATACAAATAATATGGCCTAACCTTATCTAGGTTAATAATCACGACAATATGAAATAGGTAATCAACTAGTTACAAATGATTGTGTAAATGCAGTGGGTAAACTATCAGCCTTACACTGGCCAACCTCGGACTGACGCTTGTGCTGCAGCCTTATTCAGGACACAGTCAGTACAAGCGACAGCCCTTCAACTGCTGTGCACACTGCTAGCCTTATTCAGGCAGACACACTGCACACAACAGCCTGGTCGCCAGACAGGTCAACAAGACGAATTACAGGTGGCTAACCTCCCTTTCTGGTTAGCCTCTGAGTGGCTTGCCACTCCAAAACACAACAGCCTTTTAATAACTATCCTTTCTTTTCTCAAAATGACAACCTCTCCTGTAAGCTGACTTTATCGTCTCACTTACAAGTACCGCTGTTCACACACGTCTTGTACTTCGCACAGCTTGCACTGGAAAGGACTGTCTGTACCGGGATTCAGCCTTTATATACCTTTTAACACGGAAGTTTACATCTGCAACATTATAGCTAAACCCGAATGGTCATACTATAAATTTCCGGAATATTACATATACATTTCTGACTTAAATGGTATAGTACAAAGTGTGTTTATTACAAACCAATATAACCTCCATAATCTGAGTAAATAAACCTCCATAATCTGTCTGTCAATTTGTCCACAAAAAAATTAAACCTGTTACAACCTTTGAATGGTTGGTGGTAGGGCTTTCATATTTCATATGTGTAGTCCTTGTGACGAATTTTCTATGGGCATCAACATTTTTACCTTGTGACCTTGACCTTAATGTTTATTTATTTTCATATTGCCTGCAGAACAGAGCAACACTTTACCTGATGATTGTGTGTCTGTTTGTCTGTCCATCCATCTGTCACACCTTATATCCTGAGAACTGTAAGAGGTATGGATTTGATATTTTGGTCATGTATTGCTTGGCACTATGGACTTTGTAAAATTTCATGGTTACTGACCTGCTGACTTTTCAACTTGACCTTTGACCTAGTTTTCAAAATAGTTCATATTCCTGATATACAGCATATTTTTGGACATTTTAGAGGCAAGTCTATGAGGCGCCGTTTTGGTATTTACTGCCAAAAAGTGATATCACCTATTCGAATAGGTGATATCACCTATTCAATTGGTGATATCACCTATTCGAATAAGTGATATCACCTATTCAGCTTCTGAATAGGTGATATCACCTATTCGAATAGGTGATATCACCTATTCGAATAAGTGATATCACCTATTCGAATAGGTGATATCACCTATTCGATTTGAATTGGTGATATCACCTATTCGAATAGGTGATATCACTTATTCGAATAGGTGATATCACTTATTCGAATAGGTGATATCACTTATTCGAATAGGTGATATCACTTATTCCTTTTGAATAGGTGATATCACTTATTCGAATAGGTGATATCACCTATTCAAATCAAATAGGTGATATCACCTATTCGAATAGGTGATATCACCTATTCGAATAGGTGATATCACTTAATCATTTTGAATAGGTGATATCACTTATTCGAATAGGTGATATCACCTATTCAAATTATTTATGAAATAACAACTGCTCCCAAGACTATAGCTTTAATTCTCATTTACTTTCACTTTCGTTTTATAACTTACCATTCTTGCAGACAATAGATTACAGCTTCGCATTTAGTTTTAAGCACCCCAGTAGAATTTGTTGTTTGTTTTGCTCACAAATTATATTTATTACACTTATCTATCATGTATACTATAGGAAAATTCAAAGGGTCTGTAAGTCTCGTTGACTTTCACTTTCGTTTTATAACTCCCGGGTACCTGAGCGTTCTTGGAGACAATGGATTACTTAAGTTGTAAGCATCGCAGTGGAATTATTAAACTTGCAGTTTGTTTTGATCCCCGATTGTTGCAAAGAAGAGGAGAAAGTGGATTGATAGATGCAGGTAAATAGCGTTTAATTGCTTTATTTTTTCATTACATAACGTAAACACAAGCTATTCCGAGGGGGCCAAGATTAGCCAACATACTTAAGCAAAAAGGGAAAATTAAATCGTTTTTTTTCTAAAATCGTCTGTATTCAAAAGGTACGCTTATCTACAGATTGGTTTCATAAATTTAAAGCATTGACTTAGCTTACAGTGGTATAATTTGGAGTATTGGACAGGTATACATGAGTTTGGGATATTGAATGCGATGTCA